CTCACTAAGGTTACCGTAGTGAGGACTCCTCACCGAGGAGTGCGAGGATTATGCAACCAATCAACACGAGGAACGGCCTGACACACTCTTTGAGAACCGGGTTCTGAGAACCCGGCAATAATGATATACAATGGGTCCTACGAAGCTGCACAATGCAGCACTCACCTCTTCCAACGCCATGCCTCTCAGTGATCTATGAAATGACGAAGGGTCTGAAGTAAGCCATTTACGTGCAGTTAGCTAAGATAAACAAATTAACCATCTTCCTGAAGTATAGCTCATACAACATATCCCTATGTGTGTGGAAGCGCATGATGGACTTGAATCTTTCTCGATGGGCCATCGTGCTCCGATGGCAGCTCTTCAACCGACCCTTGCGCGAAAAGGATCTCCTTTCTTTGCGCGAAGATAACGACGAAGTGGTAGTGTTCGCACCAGTATAGTCACTGTTAAAAAGAAAGGGCCATCACTGACGCGTTCGAAGGCTGTCAACTGGAATGCCTACTCTGGAGCCATCGCTGAGCGTCGTTCAAATTCTGCATGTGCAGTTCCGGGTCGGAAAGATTGTGGTGGAAAGTTTCCATTTCCCTACGTAATTGTGGAATATCGACTTCATCGTCGTGGTCCTCCTTCACTATCAATATACTTCTTTCCCCGCGGAGTCCGTGGCACGAACCAGCCTTCGCAATCTCAGTAGTTTCTCTTGATTGACCACCCTGCCGAATTGCTAATTCAGGAACCTACTTCCCAGAAAAGAGGCTATGATGGAAAACTCGGAAAGCGCGTCACGTTGATGAATGAACACCTGAAGAACAAGGAAACTTGAGGAACACCTGAGGAGACACCCGTTGCAAACGTACTCTAGTAAATGTCATTTACTCTATAGTTGTGTGACCAACAACGCAAGATCTCGTTCTTCAGGGTCTCGTTGTGTTGTTGAGTGACTATTCCGCTATAACGTCTGCAATCCCAATCGCCAATGGATAGGTCCGACGAGGAGAGACTTTGATGGAATCTGTTCAGTTGCTGAGGGTCGCAACAGCTCATTTCAGGAGATCTGCGAGAGTTCCTTCTGATAGCCTGTTGCCCAGGCCGGTCTCAAGACAATGTTCTAGTCATCCAATTAGCCTTATAACAAGGCCCTCATTCAGTTGATCTTGCTAGATGAGGGCCCCCTACTAAGTGAGATATTTCCCACTTTTACCATGCTGCAAGCTCACATCCGTATACGGCGTGAGTGATACGTAGCTTACATATCTGGCTTGAGCGGTTTAGTATACACGCATCACTTAATGCGTTACTGACATTCAGATGAGTCCAAATTACAGGGACGGTTTCTTTCTTCACTTTTCTTAGAGGAGTCTTCTAATCGAGTGTACCAATAACCTCGTGACCAAAACTGACAAGCAACACAAGTTTCGATCGGAAATCGGCTTAGGAATAAGTAAGAACGTCTCGTTCTTTTATCGACAAAAAATAATTTATCTACGCTCGTTCTGAACGAGTCGCATGATCACAGCTATATGATCTGTGTTATGAAGAGAGACAGATCAGCTGGATACAACTGTACCAAAGTACGATAAAGGGCCTTGGACATCGAGATGGATGTTGATCATCCTTCCCAGAGTTCACCAGAGAGGAAGGAATTGAATGCCCGCTGCATTCCTCTTGGCGCGTTTAAGATCATGAAATGTCCCGAGTTGATCACCTGAAATTATAAATTCAGCTTTGCAGCGAGTAACGGCGCTGAGTGTGTCCTGCTCAATCTTCCAAATGAATCGAATTCGACTTACCTTAACAACTGCAAGGTGTGCTCCATTAGCGAACGAGTAGCGATAGTACTTTCCAAAGACGCCAACTCCAGGATACTACGAGATGGCAAGTCTCAAAGCGCATAATGAACATTGAGCCTGAGATGGCTCACCTGGAGAGTCCGACGGGGGGACGAGGAGAGCTTCAAACCGTAATTGATTTCACCATTCAAAGAGAAAACCCATTTCTCTGTACCGCCGTAGTTAGCCACGAAGTCCTCAGCGCCATTAAGGATCAATACCTGATTCACACTGTGGGATGTACGACTTTTTGTAAGTCTTATCCTATCATCAATGATAGAAGCCACTTATGCCATGAATCACAGAGGCCTCACCTTCATTCCTTGATCTAGTAGTTCATTCACGAAGTATGTTGTATCATAAGCATATGATTGTATGAAACATCTGTATACCTGAATACTATAGAATGACGGCAACTCTCCGCACTAGATGCGGGATGCGACAACAGACCATATAGTCCATCCTCTTATACTCCTCTTTTGCAACTCCCAGCTCCTCCTGAACACTCTTGTTGTTCAGAAGCTTCTCTGCCTGAAATTTATGACATAATTCTCAACCTCTTCTGGGGCAAACGAGAAGTGGGAGTCCGAGTAAAATGCAGGTCGATCCTCCCCTATTTGCCATCAAAAATTAAAAGTGATAGTCGATTGAATCGGCGGCGGGTTTACATCTCCAGGATTGAACTTGTAGAACCGTGATTCACGGCCGTCTTTGGTGCGCACATCGTATCTAAAGCGAGAGACTCTCGTCGAGAGTAAAATAGTACGCCAAGACATGGTTAAGGGTAACGGCTACACCGTAGGTGGTAATACCACCAGGGTGTTCGGAAATTCATCAGTCGAGTTAGCAACATCGACGATCCTCACACGCTTCTATGAATCTCATCCAGTTGGAAAGCAGTAGCATCATCACACCACAACGCGGCCTTAAAACACTTATCTGAGAAGCTATGATCAACAGAAACAGCACATCCCGAGCCACCCACCTTCTTTGGAAGGCTTCCCAGGACCATTGGAGTTGCAATCGGCGAGTGCCGCTTGACAGACCTTCATATCCGATTGCATTTTATTTAATCTAGGAATGCATGATGAGCAAGTGAAAGAAGCAGAGAGACTCACATATCCTGAGGCACCAGACTGCGCTGAGATGCCATATCCACGCATCCCTGGTTGCTGAAAAGAGGAATATTTATATTAGGAGGGAGAGCCTTACACAGCAGACGGGTCGATTGCACCAGAAAAGATCATAACACCCCTGAAATTCGCCTTCAGCTCCTGGTTCTTGGTAATCTGCGCACCCAACATGACGACAAAGGGGGCTACAAGGATAAGCATAGGCCCTCAGTATGCTAGTAAAGACAATACCAGATAGTGACACTCCGACGAGATGGTAATCTCTATTAAAGTGCCCATGGATCTTGAAGAACTCGGTCAAGAATATCATCCTGCATGCAGGGGAGAAAGATGCTCGGAGAAATCATGTCGTAAGAGCAACTCACAAGTTGGCTACAGCGTTTTCCAAGT